AACTGAGACTCAGAAATTAAATAATTTGGGGCCTGGGATTTAGCTCAGTGGTTCCACTGCCTGCTTTGCAAGCACAAGGTCCCGAGTTTGATCCCCAGTACCAAAAAAAAAAAAAAAGAAATTAAATAATTTGCCCAACATTATACCACTGCTAGATGTCAAGTCTGACTACAAGAACTGACTTAAAATACAGCCTCCTGGGACATTTTTAGTTGAAGGGCATGGCACATCAAACACAGCCTATCTAAAACATGTTTATTTTCATTTTCTTTTAAAATTAACTGTCTCTTTTGATTTCTGTTTCTTTCAGACCTATTTTTTACATTTACCTTTATTAACACATGATCATTTTACAAGAACTAGAGCATGAAAGAAAAAAAGTCCTAAATTAGGGGAGTCATAGCCTCAAGAGTCTCTTTCCAATTAAGAGTTCAACTTCAGGGACATTACATAGTCTTAGTGGCCCTAACTTCCCCATCTGTTAGAGGATCTCTTTCTGGCTCAATAATTCCATGTGCTAGCTATCATTATTGTAAAAACATTTAAAAATGCTAAGGAATGGTGAAATTTTAAAAACAAACAGAAAATTTTAAAAGTAATTTACACCAGAAGAATATTTATTCTAGCTACTCAATATGGCTCTATATTATAATTGTATAGCAAAAAAAACTAAGGGGAAAGAAGTGTCCAAAATTTTTAAATCACATGTAAATTATGGCATATCAACAAAATAACATGTGATGTCACACTTTTAAACTAGTTTGAATGACATAGGGAAATGTTTTTTAAAGTTAAGCACAAAAAAAGGAACTCTAAAATGTCTCCACCTGAAACAATTGGTACTGGGTACATACACATTCTCAAGTTATGTAATTTTCTAACATCCGACTTCCCTCTTTCCTACACCTCATCTTTATCCAAGTTCTGGGTTAATCAGATTTACGTATCTTAAGTACCATAATTTCTTTTGTATTTAGAAAGCTTGCCAGCTACCAAAATATGCAGACACTATTAAAAGATAAGGGTCAACAAAGTGAACATCTTACAAAGAAATTTTAACCACCTCTTCAGGAAGGCATGACATTAGTTTCCTTCTGGGAATTCAACAAAGCAAAGAAGACTGAGATGAAATTTGCTTAAGAGCGAATCATAAATTGAGAGGACCAACGATAATGCTGCCTGCTACCAACCATGCGCCATTAAGAAACTATTTCATCTGAAAGTACTTAGCCTTTAAACAAGCAAAACAAATTACAGACAGAGAGGAGTTGTAGAGTATCACTTTAATGCAAACTTATGAGAGAACTATAAAATCAAGAGAAAGATAAATAAACAATGTCAGCTCACAGTATCAGAGTGCCTTTAAGGAAAATTTATCTCTATAAAGCTGCATTGTTAGTTGTTATCACAGCTTGTGGAAGATTTCTGCAGCCTTGTTGGTATGGTTTGGATAAGTACCCCATAACAACTCCTGAGTTAAAAATTCTGGTGCCCAGCCTATGGCACTGTGAGGAGGCATGGAAGCATGAAGAGGTGTGTCCTAGAGCGAGGCCTTAGGTTGCTGGGGGCATGGCTGCAGAGGGGAGTGTGGGCCCTTGATCTCTCCTTCTTCCCTGTCTTCACCTTCTCGCTATGAGGTGAGCAGCTCACTTTTCTGCATGCAGCAGTCTGCCTCACTGCAAGCCCAAAAGCAAAGAGGCCAACTGACCCCATGGTCAAAACTGTGGCAAAAATAAACTTGTCTTCTGTAAATTTATTATCTTAAGTATTTTGTTACAGTAATAGGAAGTTGACTACCCTACTTGTATATCTGAAGATATGTTTCCTTTTAATCATTTTTCCAGACATGAATCCTTTTATTGAAAGACAGAAATGACCTAAAGCTTGAGAGAGATGTTAATGCTTCACCCAGGTGTGTTCAGCATTAACAGTCCTCCTTGTGATTCTATCTCTGTCTTGTCTATGTGTCATAGACTATTGTTCTCAAGATGATCTTTGTTTAAGAAACATTTAGACAGGTGAAAACAATCTGTGTATCTCCTGGAAGAACTCTACATTACAACACAAATTTTTAGAATCACTTTGATAAACTGTAAATGTAATTAATATTTGATGTGTTGGTTAAATTTGATAGGCAATTTTCTAAGCAACAAAAGCTTGCCTTCTCACAGAAAGATATCAATAATAAAAAAATTAGATGGGCTTGGTGACACACATCTATAACCCCAACACCCTGAAAGGCTGAGGCAAGAGGAGCACAAGTTTGAGCCCAGTCAGGGCAACTTAACAATTTAGAAAGACTCTGTCTCAAAAGTGAAAAATAAAAAGGGGGCTGAGCACGTAGCTCAGTATGAAGCCCTGAGTTCAATTCCTAGTACCATCAAAGGAAACAGAAGAAAAAAGCCTCACAGTTTAAACTTAGAATCATGAATAATCCTTATCTGATAATATTAACAAGCTATTATAACACTCAAAGTTCTTAATATTTGGGCAAAGAAATAAATTTCTTAGTAACTAACATGTAAATTACTTAGAATACCACTGAACATATATAATTGATAACTCAGTGAATATAGATATACATTCATTCGAAGTATAAAATTCACAGATAAAGCTAAGTAAATAGAAGTTCTGAATAGAGGAATAGTGTGTAATGATCTCACCACCAACTTTCTTTGATTTTATAATAACATCTTTTAAATATAAGAGTCCCTAGGCTACCTGGACAGCCTATGTATATTGTGTATTTACTATGTGTGTTAACTACTTTATAGTCACTAAACGCTATAAATTAGAAAATGTTATAGATGTGAAAATTGTTAGTAAGAGATGTTCTGTAACTTTTCTTAATTCCAGAAGTAGCCTTCAAATCCAAGTTTACTTGAGTCCAGTGCATGCTCATAATCTTAGATACGTTGACTCCAACACCTATAAATGTTAATACAATTTATTTTGAAATAGATACCTGGTCAAAATTGTCAAAATTTAGCCTCCAAAATTTAACAAGTAGAGGCCGGGGATTTAGCTCAGTGGTTTTGTCACCTACTGCACAAGCGCAAGGACCCAAGTTTGATCCCCAGTACCAACAAAAAAAAAATTTAACAAGTAATTATAGTTTCTTAAGAGGAACTCATTTGCTCTATGCCTGACCCATCTAAAGAAGATAATCATACCAGTAAAAAAATACTACCAATAATTATAGTAAAACCTGCTGATATAGGTTTTGCAATGCTTGTCCCTATTCCATGAATGAAATAAAAATTACCAATTAGAACCCAAATTGGTTACACAGGAAAAGTGAAACTTCACAGTGAAGGATCTAGCTGATACCAACTTGACTTAGTGCTCTATTTTTGTCTCACCAGTAGGAAAAGAGAGCCATTCTATGAGTCTGGAAAGATGAAAACACACTGCCTGTGATGATTTCTAGACAAAGTCTTTGCTTTGAATTAATCAAGCTTTTGGACCTAACTTCCAAATTCAGGAATTACAAGAACCATAGAAGTAAACTCAATGATTTCAGAAGGAAGAAATGAGACACATTCAGAAGATGGGACAGACCCAGAACATCTGGCTGGTCTCTTCAACAAGTTAATGTCATGAAAAATAAAATAAAATAAAATAAAGAGGCTGTTCTCTTAAAAGACACTAAAGGGGCATAACATCCAGATACACTGCATGGTTCTGGACAAAATTCTGCTTCAGATAAACCATCTGTCAAGGGCATTGTGGGGGAAACTGTGAATATTTGAATATGATGGCGAATTAGATGATATTGAGAAGGATTATCAATTGTATTAGTTGTAATAAGGATAATTTGACTATATAGGCCATGTTCTTTTAATTTTATTCTATCTCACCCCCCCTTCATATCCCCTCCCCTCCCTATGTACAGAAGCTTTGTTTCCATTTTTTCCTTCTATTTTCACTTTTTTCTTGTCCCTTCCTTCCTTTCTCCCTCTCTCCTCCCTTGTTCCCCTTCCCATTTGAACACTTTTTTCCCATTTCCTAACATGTTCTTATTTTTAAGACATATATACAGAAGTATTTAGAAATAAAATGTTAAAATGTCTGTATTTTCTTTAAAATACACAAATATAAACACAAAGACCTAAAAAAGATGAGATAGTTATAAATATAATTGCAAAGAAATTGAGTACAAACAATTAAAAGTTCAAAATTCATGCACCAATGTCAAGGAATAAAAATAGCAGGATAAAAACCAAGATTCCACTTTGTTTCCATTGTGATAATTCTGAAAGATCATGATCATTTCAGATCTTACTCTTCTCTTCTATGATTTTTGAACAAAGTCTTAACTGGAATATTTTTTTAAAATTTAAAGCAAAATATTAACTTTAAAAAGATCCCATAGTATAATTTTAGATACACTTTGGGGTATATTCTACTAACATTCAGTATCACAGAAAAAAGGAATTAGAAGATTTGAAATTAACATAATATTCTATCACCATCACAGCTGAGACAATATGGAATGCTAATTTCCATGCTGCTGTCTTTATTGCACAAGCTTCATTTCCATCCCCTACCAGGAATTACTTCATTTTTATGTTAATAAACCTTCTTTGTTCCAAGCACCTCCCTAACAGGTAAGAAAGCAAATTCCAGTCTAGACAATATTTGGAGGACAGGACTTAAACATCAGTTACAAATAGTGTTTCATGAAATGACTTTGAGTCACTGTAATTGACAGTGCTAGCCATTAGCTGGGCATAATATGATGCTTACCAGTGAAAAGCAGGAAAATCTTAGATCCTTAATGACATTAAATCACTCTAGTTCAGATGCAAGCAGGTTAGACCTACAGAGTACAAGTAAGTGCCCTTTAGGAAGCCTACAGCTTAGTACAAAGATAAAAGGTACCTTTCGCTCTTCATTCAAGGAGATGTGCAATTTAAACAAACAGCACCCGCCTTTGGATATGGAAACAATAGATTCAAAAACTGAAACAAAGCCAAACAAGAACAGTAAAAGCAAACCTGAGGCCCAGCTGCCTGCAGATCACTTCTGCATCTGCATCATCCCACTGGTCATCGCAGATGGTCCCCCACTGGCCAGCATGGTAGAGCTCCACACGACCTTCCTGCACACTGCTGCCACCAGTGAGGCGAATGACAGTCAACGATGGGCCTTGCAGTGTGAAATTAAAAACAAGTTGAGTCAAAGTGTTTCAATCTATGGAAAACTAGGTATATTCTGTTTTTCCTATTCTCCATAATATTAAGCCACACTAATGATATGAACATACACATGCATATTTGACATATTTTGATTTTTTTCTTTTTGTTCATTAAGTTTATTGGTACATTTTAGGTATAAAATTCAGTTACATTCATCACTGGGATCTTGTACCTTTACATGAGTCTCTTGGTTCTTATTTTTTTCCCCATTCCCCTGCCCTCCCTTCACCCCCCTCCACCCTTCCCTATTTACAAAGACTTTGTTTCCATGATTTTCCTTTTTTTCATATTTTTTCTTTTCCCTTCTTTCCTTTCCTCTACCTCTCCCACTTCCCCTACTCCTTTAGACCTTTTCTTCCTATTACACAATATCAATTATACATTTTTAAATTATAATACCAAGATTTAGAGGACATTACCACAGATTTTACAGAATTTGAAAGGATATAGAAAGCATATTACAAAAATATTTTTAAAAATAAATTTGACAACTTCTATGAAGTACCTTGGAAGCCAAATTAATGAAACTGACTCTGGAAGAAATGTAAAATTTGAATAGCACCTATTAAAGAAAGTATATTCCTAGCTTGAAAACCTACCTATATGACAACAACAGGCTCATATACATTTTTTTATGTAAAAAATTAACCTCAACCCTTTATTTCCATACATAAAAATAACTTGAAAGGATCTATGAACCTAAATGTGAAAGACTAAAACTTTAAAACTTTAAGAAGAAATTACAAGGGAAAATGTTCATGAATTTAGGGTTGGCAAGAATTTCCTAGGATACAGAAAAACATGATGTATAAAAGAAAAAAATTGATAAATGAGATTCCATCAAAATTTAGAACTTTAAGTGGCATCGTTAAGAAAATGAAACGTAGTCCTTAAACAGACCATATTTATAATACATATAACCTATGGCCAGAATATATAAAGAACTCTTACAGCTCATTAATAAACAACCCAACTAAAATGTAGACACAAGAAGATGATAAATAGCCAGTACAGAACAAGGAAAGGTGTGCAACACTAGAATCAGAAAAATAATCAGTACTAATCAGTACAATAACAAGATCGTATTATACACTCATTAGGGAGATGAAGTTAAAAGTTTTAAAAGAACAGATGTCATCTTAGGTGTGAACCAGTTAGAACTTTCAAATACCGCTAATGTGAATGTAAAATGATAAAATCATTTTAGAAAACAATATAGAAATTACTTGTATTACTGTTAAGAACCAACAGTTCTGTTCTTAAGTTTTTACTTAAGAGGAATGAAAACACATGTTCACAATAGATTTGTACATACAAGTTGACTATCCCTTATTTAAAATTCTTGGGTCCAGAAGTGTTTCAGATTTTGGTTTGAAATCCACTTGATCTGCAAAGAGAATAGCTACTCCTCCTTCTGGGGGGGTTTCCTGTCACATGCAGTATTGTTTTCCACCCTTTAACTTTCAGTCCATGATTTTCTTTTTGAATTAAGTGTGTTCCTTGTATGCAGCATATTGTTGGATCTTGCTTCTTGACCCATTCTGCCAGTCTATTTCTTTTAAATGGTGAATCGAGACCATTAACATTGATGGTTATAACTGATATGTATTGACTTACCACTGTCATGACTTTTTCTTTTTGTTGGATTTTTTTTCCCCTTTGCATTTAATTTCTTCTTGTGCCCAGTGGATTCATTCTGCTGGCCTTCTGGGGTTGTGGTCCTCATTTTCTTTTCCTAGGGTATTGTCTAAATTTTTTTGGAGTGCTGGTTTGGTATTCATGAAGCTCCTCAGGTGCTCTTTTTCATGAAAGTATCTTATTTCTCCATCAATTTTGAAAGATAGTTTTGCAGGGGTACATCAGTCTGGGTTGGAGGCTCTTTTCCTTTAGGGCTTGAAATACATCTCACTCCAAGCTCTTCTTGCCTTGAGGGTTTGCATTGAGCAGTCTGCTGTGATTCTGATGGGCTTTCCTTTGGATGTGATTTGTTTCTTTTCTCTAACTGCTTGTAGAATTTTGTTCTTCTGTTGGGTTTCTGGA